GTGCTTTTGCCCAATACTCAATAAATATTTGTGAATAAAAAAAAACTTTAATCTTCCATTCCTGCAGGCCATGACCCTCTACTGGACGTCGTCCTCAGCCGTCGGACTGGCCCAGAACATCCTCCTCAAGTTGCCACGGTTACGGCAAGCCTGCCGCATCCCCCCCACCCCCCGGGACTCCTCCACCCCCTTCCGGGACATGGCGGCCACCCTGCGGCGGAAACTCGCAGGGAAGGAAAAACCAGCAGCAAAGTCCGGACAACAGAGATTATGATAACAAATAGAAAGGTAACATTTGCAAAGCAGATACATAATGTTTACCTTCGCATATGGTAATTCTTACTCATTCACAAACGTGTGGTGACAGAAGTCAAAATCCCTCATACTATGAAATTGCAACATCATGTAACCCAACAACAGTTACCATGGTGAGAGACATCTGGTTCAGGTTATTGACCAGGTCAGAGGTCAATGTTTGGAGAAGAATAGGAAACTGAGCAAAAACAATATGTTTTCCTTCGGTAAACATAATAATAATAATATGGTAACATTTGCAAAGCAAATGCATAATGTTTACCCTCACATATGGTCTGCACTGTTGATTCTTACTCAAAAACATTCAAATCCCTCCTGCTATTAAATTGCATCATGATTTAACCCAACACCAGTAACCATGGTGATAGAGGTCTGACCAAGAAGAGGAAGAAGAAGAAACAGAGCAAAAACAATATGTCTTCCTTCTGCAATTGCATCCTTTTATTTCTATTGTGCTGAATTGATGCAAGGATCACAATCACATAATACATGATACATGTAACATATTTGCTCCACACACTTTTGTGGAACTGTCGCAAGGATCTGTGCGGCTGCCATTCGGCGCCACAAGGTGACCTCAAGACGACTTTCCCCAACTGAAGTTAGGTACTCATTCACACCTGTGTGGAGTGAGGAAAGTCGTGTTAAGTGCCTTTCCCAAGGACACAACATCAGGGCGCATGTCCAGACATGTACCGGGTACGTATACGACTCGGAATCGAACCCGGGTCTCCCCGTTTCATAGTCGAAAGCTCTATCACTACACCACCTGACACCACAGATCAGCAATAGTCGTCCTACTTGGAGTCTGCTGGGGAAAAAACAAAACAACTGCCTAGTCTGAGCTGAAACACTTTGTGAAGGACTTTTGCTACTGGGGATTACTATACTACTACAACTATACTATGGCAATCACTCGAGATCTTTATTTGCAATCAGATTCATATACAAATTCATGCACAGATACAGATTCATGTACAGATACAGATTTTCCGAGTATGATACCGTGTCAGTCCCTACACCTGAGTGTGGGTCACAGTTGACACGGTGGCCTTCGCGTGGATTTGCTTAAGGTGGATAACAGGTTTCAAATCTGAGACCCACACACACACTGGGTATTAACGCAATCAATAAAACGCTGCCTGTACAATTTGTGCCTGTACAATCTTCATAAACCTGTTTATTACACTGATGTAGTAGAGGTTTTGAAATTACCGTAATCCAAGACTCAAAGGTAATTAGAGAATAATTATCTATGTTAAAAAGACATTAATAAAAACTTTTTCCCTCTGTAGAGTTACTGATAGGTGTACTAAACTTTTGTAACCTAGCATGAAAGTTCGTCTGAGTTGGTGAAATACATGAAGAAAATCAAACTATTCTCCAATTAAAAAAAATTAGTCACCAGAAATTTGATGACAAAAAATTCTGGTGAGTTAAATTTTTTTTTTGAGTTGAAGGACAGTTTAATTTTCTTCACATAAACTTTGTAACCTGTTCATTAATTGATTACAAAAAAGACTTTTGTTTGGGCCAAACACCGTCCGTTTGTGCAGGTAAAGCAACACCAAACACGGGACCAGGACCTAAACACAGGCTTCCCGGCAGGGCTGAAACAGATCCATACACCGTCCTTGTTACTGTTTTATTATGTATATAGATGAATAAAAGAAATCTATGCCCAGCAGGATCCAACCACAGACCACCCGGCAGGTATTGATTTGGTGGCGAGTCTCTGAACACCCGCGTACCGGGCACTGCCCTGTCGGTGGCTGCATGGTACTTAAGTCAACAGTGCATCTGTATCTGTATAGCCAGTATAACCGCCCTTCGGTGTAACACACCAGCTTCGCAGGCACGCGGCGCGGTGGCAGCTAGCTATATCACACCGAACGGCTTGTTACACTCAATCTTTGCACATTTGATTGCAGGAGTTGTTTAAAGCTTTGTACCTGGTGCAAGCACGTCTAACCTCCAGTTGGGGAAAAATGACGTTAAATTCGGTTAAAAAAAGTGATGATGCCCCAAATGTGCTTGGTAGCAACGAGTTCCAGTCTACAATAGTTCTGGGGAAATACGATTTTTTTAATACTGTGGTTCATATGTAATCCAATCTTGTTTCATTACCTACAGTATGAACTCATTTTGATTTCCATTATTTATTATTTTGTTCTGACCTCTCCCACCTCTTTTTTTGAGTTGCGTTATCAATTTCTGTAATCAGATAGATATTTGGTAGTATAATATGTTGTTTTATATAATTTTGATTGTTAATGTTGATTTATATCATTTTGATGTGTTTTTCAGTTCAGCTGATGTTAGTCTTCTGTTAATTCTGTTGTATTATTATTTTATTATATTCCGTTATATTTTGTATTATATTGTTTTAAATGGACTCTCAGGTCAGACCATTGTCATAAATACATATGAATACAGATCTCCAATTATTGATGAGTTACTGTATCGTACAATAGAAACTTTATTTGCAAAATCATGCCTGAATGCTTATTGCTTGTACGTACAATCAAGTATAACACTTATTGCAATACAGTAACAGGAGACAGGTAACAACTGTCTGGAAAAACTTCTACTTCTACTACTACGCTAGCTATAATGGGGATCGATGTCTTCTTTGAAGGCAGTGGATAATGAATAGTCCCACATTCTGCATAATTAGTGGGTTTTGTGATCTTAGTAGAACCGTAGTAACAATAGTTGGTACGTAATTAGATAGAATTTTGGACCAAAAGCTGATGAAGACCCAGAAACTGGGACGAAATTTGGTGAATTAGATACCTTATATATATTAACTTGGAGAACAGTTTAGTTCTCATTATGGCACTGTTTATGTTGATTGTACGGGTGGAGAAAGGTTTTTGTACACTTAAACAGATGTACAAGGCCAGTCATAACACCTGCACGTTATGGAAACGTACGATCTGACAACACACAGGTCTGTCTGCACGTTATGAAAACATTCAGGTAATCAATTTTACACCAACACAAGGCCACTTGCTGATGTATATATGAAACACGCACTGCCCAAACTAAGCAAGGCCACCTCAGCGCTCAATCTGGGCTGACTGTTATGAATGAATGAATGAATCTTTATTCAACTTGCAGACATTACAATTGCCTGAATTGTGTTGAATTTACACAGCATAAAATATTAGAATACTAAGTATTGAAAGCATCAACAATTATTTACATTAAAATACGTTTGTCATAAAATGTTTTGGAATCATTTATACTGGTATAAAATAACTACATAAATACATTGCGACATACTGTCGTGGTAAGTCAGTACAGAAATACATAGTGTCGTCGGATCAATGGGCTTATAACGCTCGAATCGTCCTGCAGGCCGCTTTTTATTATAATCATGAAGGAATAGGTAACAGTCAGACATGATAAAAGCTACATCATTTGATGAAGGTTAGACATCCAGGTAATACGATACGTCAAAAAGCAGTTACTCAAGCAACTGGATATGGTTTTGAAAACTTATTCTGCACATTGTTAGAGGACTGTTAGGGCCATGTTTACCCTGATGTTGACAGGTCTATACTACACTCCAAGAGCTACATCATTTGACGTCTTTTTTGGCATTTTTATCGGACTTTTTCTATTTGTACTGGCATATTTTTTTTTGCTAACCAAAGTGGTGCATTTAATATTCAATTGTCCGCGGGCTTCATAGCATTGGATATTTCCTTTCGGCGTAACACACGATTCTTCCTGGCACGCGGCGCGGCGGCAACTGGCTGATTGATTTAGTTCCGGTAGGACTGTCCTTCATACCCACCGCTGATCGACAAGTTGTTTAATACTTAAACACTGCCCGGGAGGATCTAACAACACACTGGCCTGTCTGCACGTTATGGAAACATTCAGCAAATCAATTTTACACCAACGCAAGGCCACTTGCTGGCTCAGGCAGCCTCTACCAGGCTTCGGGAGGCGGCTGGGAAGTGTAGAAATTGGCAAAATAGAGAGATAACATGCCGGGGTAGTTAGTCCGCTAGAGAGTACAGTTTGCCGATCTAACTTTACTCACTGTACTACCTGAAGCATCTAGAACACGTTATGCACGTTTTGCCTGTCTGCACGTTATAGAAACATCCAGAAAAATCAATATTACATCAACACAAGGCCACTTGCTGATTCAGGGACGTTATTCATCTAAATATACCAAAATTACAGAAAATTTAAGAAGTGGTTTACCTTCCCTCGTATTCGTATTCAGTATTAGTTTAGATCAGTATATAAAGTAAACATTACATCTATCGTTGGGAACATGACAAACGTCTAAACAAATACAGGAATGCCCACTTTTTTGTAATATTGACCAGCTTTACATTATAACTTCTACAAACATTACACAAAGAAGACATAATACTTTGTCAGAAGCTCTTTGTGGCATACATGTTCAAGCTTCATATATACATTTTTTAAGAAGTTTCTTTTATTGTAAAGTTACAAGAATAACACGAAATTCGCTTTCTCTGTGCGGACATCGACCTTTAGGCCAACTGGACCCTCTATGGCCGGCCAACTCTCCTGGCCAACTGCAATCTTTTTGGGTATATTTCTACT